GTCTTATTTCAATCTAATTTCAAAATAGCTTATTTCCTAATTTGGCACTGTCTACATGGTATCAAATTTAGAAATGGCCCTCTATTCTGAAGCATCCCTTACTCCTCGTGTAATGAGGTTTACAGGGACATCAGAATAGTGAGCCTGGTGTATTTTGAAATAACGGGCTTGTGTTAAGATGCAGGATAGATATTTTGGAATACCCCCAACATCCCCCAAAAAAAGTGCTGCAGTTGGAAGTGCTGCAGTGCTGGTGCTGGCCACTGTCAGTAGACAGGATACTGGGCTAGAAGGACCTTTGGTCTGACCCAGTACGGCCATTCTTATGTTCTTATGTTCTTAGTGTAGACATAGCCTCTGTGGGCACCAGCATGAGGTAGTATAAATGCTTTGAATGAAAGAGCAGGTTTGACATATAGCTATGTCCACTGGCCATGGCAGTGACAGAGATTAGGTTAGGTGATAAGAGGCTTTCCTCTCTGTTTCAAACACCTGGGGGTCACAGTTCAGTGCAGATACTGGAAGAGAGGGACCATCCTTTCTCAGTCTAACAGCCAGTAAAGCAGGAAGCTAGAGTCATTTTAGCTAAAGCAGAGTTGTCATTGTGGTTAGTGTGAGCTCTTGAAGGGCTGTGTCTGAGTGTGTGGGTGACCGTGTTGTCTGCAGGAGGTTATCTCGTATGTAGAGAGCTTCACTGAAAATATTCCCTGTCTGTGATATTCAGTCCAGTGACTTTATATTTAAATTGTCATGGTCCTTATGTCCCTTGCTGGTGATATGAAGGTTCCTCCTGGGACAATGAGAAGACTCTGCATGGGCTGATGTTGCACCACTTCATTCACCCCATGCAACTAAAAGTTTTTGCTTCCATCTCAAACTAACTGGACCAAATTCCACTGTCGGAACTTGCAAAGGCTGTTGAAGCCCACTTGGTAGCACTCATTAATTGATATCAGAGTTTGCTCCATTCATTGAACCTGGACAGATCTACTCAGAAATTTAGTCATCTGACATTAACAATTATAGACACTGGTTCCCAAGCAATATTGCAAATAGGGTTTCAGGCCCAGTCACTCCTGTACTGTGGGGATAAGGATATGCCTTGACTGTTGGATGGCTGGATGGACAGAATATTCATTATCTTCTCTGAAAAGTGCTCTCGTATTTATACATGATTGCTGTGTATATTCAAAGCAGGACGGGTAAAAATTCTTAAAAACCTGGGATTTGACCATTTCTTATAGTGCCTCCATAATATTTATTTGGACCCAGAGAAACACCAAAGTTGACATCTCACCAAATATAGGAAGCTGAGTGGACTTTATTATGATTAGTTGAAATGTTTCTATTAAAACTTTTTAGACTGTTTTTAAAAAACATATTTTCTCACCAAAAAGTGTCTGCTTTTTTTAAAAAAAAATTGTTAGGACAAATGAAAATGGAAAATATTTTGATTTCCTGTAGAGCTAGTTAGAAATTTCCCATCAGAATAAAAAACTGAATAATAATCAGAATCTTTTTGGATGTAATTAATAACAAACGTGAAGGTTTTTTCCCCATAAATAAGGAGAACACCGCTTAGATAATTGATCCTGAAAATATCATGCCTGGTATGAAGCATGTTTCTGCTCTTTCATTAAGTGTGACATATCTCAGGTATCTCAAAGGGGAGACACTTAAGAACGATTTTGGAGAAAGTAATTTTTCTTGAACTAATGTTACAAAAACAAAATAAAATTGTAACCTGAATAGTTTTTTTCAAAATGGTTGGATGAATTATTTGCATTAGGCAAAATACATTCATTCAACTTTTGTGATTATGTGTCTCTTTGCTAGTAAGTTATCAACTATGATACATGACTGAAATTAACTACTGGTATTTCACTTAAAAACAGAATTCTTGAAGTAGCTATATTGTCTAATATACCAGAACATTGAAGGATTCACATAGGTACTATAAAGAATTTGTTCTAAAATGCGGGCCTAAATACTGTTGTGCTCTATCTTACCACACACATGGAGACCATAGTATTTACTTTAATTTTTGGCGGATGCTAATTCTGTTTGGGTGCATCTACACAGCAGGCCTTGATTCTAAATAAGCTACACAAATTGAGCTACGTCAATTGCATAGTTTATTTGAAAATATCTTATTTCGAAATTGGGAGCATCTACACAGCACTTATTTTGGAATAGGGCACTCTTCCTCTGATTTCCCTTACTCCTCATAAAATGAGGGTTACAGGAGTTGGAGTAAGCAGTCCTCCACCTTGACAGTATTTAGACATTATTTTGAAATAATGTTGCAGTGTAGATGTACTGTTAGTGTAAATCTGAGTAACTGCTAGAGACATGGAATCCAACAAAAGTTAGATTTAGTGTAACATGAATTAATTTTAGGTTCGATAATCCTTGTGCTCAAAGTAGGAAAGAGCTGTCTCTGCTAAACCACAGGAGATTTGTAAATATGCACTAGGTCCAAAAAAATTAAAAGCTAAATGAAAGTATTTCACATCTGTATACACATACTTCTATTAAAGACTAGTTAGATATACAGTATTCCCCCTGCTTCATCCTGCTTTTCCCCAAGATTTTTGATGAATTATTGATTTTATGTGGTCTTTCCACTGAATTAAATTTGAGCACCTAGCTATGCTTTATTTTAAAGTACTTTTGCTCATTATTTTGAAATCTATGATGTGATACATTCTAAAATGAAACCCAGCTAAAACCTATTTTGGGCCATGATTCTAGAAAGAACTTAGGTCCTGGTCCTGCAAAAGCTTGCTCACGTGTTACTTAACTGTGAGCACTGTAAGTAAATGTATTGAAGTGTTGGCATTATTTACAATGTAAATAGGAGCAAACTTTTGCAGAATGGTGGCTTTCACCATTTCCTTAGGTCCCATTGTCTTCTGTTGGAGGGAAGCACATGCTTACAGCGGCGGATTTAGGGCAGGGCGAGCGGGGCGGTTGCCCTGGGCTCCGCACTTCCCGAGGCCCCGCGCATGCGCCTTGGCACCACGGCACATGTGCTGTGTCAAAGGGGAGGCCCCAAGAAAATTTGCTGCCCGGGGCCCCGCGGCACTCTCATCCACCCCTGCATGCTTACACCTAATCATGTTCTTACATGCTTTCCTGAATAAGGGTGCTTTCTTAAATCAGAGCCTTCAAATGTGACACACTGATATTTTTAATAATTTTGCATCATGAAGGAGGATAGCAATTTTTATATAGTTGTGTTAGGATTTTTTAAATATCTAAGCTAAGAAATGTTTATGGGGGTTTGTGCTTCTTTTCATAGGTCTGGGGTTTGTTGGGTTTTTGTTGGGTTTTTTTTTTCTAGCTTGTTTTTCTATATTAGAAAGCCTGGTCTTGTCTGCCTTGTTTTTCCTCAAAGAATCTATGAAAATTAGAAATAGAATTCTGACATCATGGGTATCAAAGAAATGTAAGCAGGTTAAGGGGCAAAGTGATTTTTATTAGAGCATTTTAAAATACTTTTTAATGTAACAGTTGTTAAATACAAATGCCTTGCCACAGCTTACGAAGGAGTCTCTTTATTAGAGAACACCTGTTTAGGGTTTGAAAAGCATTACAGCCGATCACTTCTCAGAGACAGCTTTGCAATATAGAGCTTGAGCCCAGTGGAAGTGGAATGATGAGCCAAGGGCCAGATTCTGCTCTGTTACCCCTAAGTAAATACATTGACTTCAGTGGAGGTACTATGGGTTTATACTAGTGTACCTGAGAACAGCAATCTGGTCCAAAACGAGGTTCAACCCTTACTATAGTAAATTCTATCTTTAGGAAGGGATCAGCTAGACGCTATTTTAAAACTTCTACAATTTTGCATACCTATTTCAAGTGAGGGGGTAGAAACCTGAATCTTTTATAATTATAAATAAAGCTCTTTGCCTGTTGTAGAGACCCTGAATGCGTTAGTAACTTCCTTCCTGGCTGAGATGACATTTCAGAGACGTTCACTTGGCCTATGAGATCAGTAGCAAGCAAACGCCGTCTGCACTGTCTCTGTCACACACACGGACTCTGAGGAGACATGAAGTCAGGCGGGCACTGCTGGTCTATCCTGCTGTTCCTCGGTAAGTGTGGGACGGGGAAGGAGCTGGAAACATTCTATTGGAAATGTCCTAACTTAAACTTGACAGCTAGGTTCTGTGTCGTTTCTAACGTGCAGTCAGCACTGACATGGTTTCACATCATGTGAGGAAAACGGTTGTTCCAAAAGGTTTTCTGTTTGAATTTGATTTAATTTAATAGTTTGTAACAGTTTGATTGTATTAAGTTAACCCTCGGAGATGCAGCTAGTACGCAAAGGGGCAATATGTGATAAGGTTTTATTGGACAGGCATGGGTTCATTTGCTGTTCACCATTCCAATATGCCTTACTTTTATTTCCCTGTAGAATAGTATGAGGTCTGTTTGAACCCCACTGATTTCTGTTGGTTCAGAGCTCACTCGCTGTGGGCTGGGTTCACAGCAGTAGGCAGAAAACAGTTGCACGCATCTTCACTGAGTAGATGATGTTTGAGTAACTTGAATTTCCAAAGGAGAGGCCTCCCCCTTCGTTCCTCTGACATCTCCTAGCCCACTCCCTCCTTGCGTTCTTTTGATTCCTTTGGAAAGGAGCAACTGGTCCCCCACTTAATCTAGTCCTGCGTGACCTCCTCCATCTCCCCTGTGGGGTCAGCTGGATGTATGACCTTCCTGTTACTGGTCCATGCATTGATACCTGGCTCTTTTACATTTATAAATAAATCCCTGTGCCTATTGTAGAGACCCGGAGAGTGTCAGTAACTTCCTTCCGTTTCATCTTTCTCATGTGAGTAGTGTAGCCCTTTGGCTTTATTCTAAGAGAATTCATGGGGCCAACCATCTCCTCAGATACATACCGGTATACACAATTTTCATCAACTTCATCTGGAGCAGCCCAGCATGTCTCCAGGCATGAATGCATCCCTAGATGTTTGTTCTTCAGCATGAACCAAGGTAACTGCCTTCTCCTTGCATGCAGACTTCAGTGTATTCAAATTGGCAGCCACGTGTACCCCTGTAAGGCATTAGCCAACATAGCATTAGGTTGTTCTTTTCCTTCATACAGTATGAATTTCAGGGAGAAAGTTTTCTCTGGTGTCTGGTGCATGTGATTTGATTATCTCTCTCTGGGTTTACTGCAGGTTCTTCCCACGCTCTTCTCGTTGAGATCCCTCAGGATTCAGTCAATGGAACTGTCGGTCATTCAGTGCTTCTGCCCATCTCCTACAAGCTCCAGACGGGGCCATTTCCCTCTCCACTGGGCATTCATTGGTATTTCAGTAATACCCCTAATCCACTGGTCAGCTACACTGTGACTAAGTGCTCTGTCGGCACTGAGGGGATCCCCACCCGCTGCTCTGGGGATCATTTTACACATCCCGCCTACCAAGGCCGGGCTGAGCTGTTCCCTGAAAATGCTTCTCTGCTCCTTCGGAACCTGCAGCTTAATGACAGCGGCGTCTACAGCCTCACCTTCAATGGACAGCGGCAAACTAAACACATCACATTAACTGTGTCTGAACCGCACGTGAACCCTGGAAACCCAGAGTCTAATGGAAACACAGGTGATGGTATGTATGTAACAAAGTGACAAGCAGTTCCCTCCAGTGTGCATTATTTTGTGCTTATGTGCATCATACCACATTTACTCTATCATTACCCATAATCTAATTTAGCTAAATCTGTCAGCAGTTCTTCAGTCTTCTCTAATCACGTCTAAACTAAATATCTTCTATAAACTTAAAAAACAACAAATAATCTGGTAGCATTTTATAGACTAAGAAAACATGTAGATGGTAGCATGAGCTTTTGTTAGCACTGCCCACTTCTTCAGATGACCAGCTGTGCCCATGAAAGCTCATGATCCCATCGACATATTTTGTTAGTCTATAAAGTGCTACCAGACCATTTGTTGTTTTTTAAGTTTATCCTGTACAGACTAACTCAGCTACCCCCTGAAGCTTCTAAATATCTTGTATCATCTACTAATCTGAGCACTCACTTTCCAGTTTTCTCCCTTCTCCAGATCACTAATGCATCAACATCAGTGCTAGTCTGACTCCTTCAGGCATACTACCAAAGCAGATGCCACCCACCTTGAATGTTGGAAGCATGCCTATTGCATATTAGACACTTGCATTAATAATATTAGCCATCCATACTGAATATTAAAGAGTTGTGCTTGCACTTTATTTTTAACAAGTACAAGTAAATGATACCAAATGTTATTTTACTGATGCTCTGGGAGAATTCTAGCAGAGTTGAGGCAAATGTTTCTTCCCGATGTCTCTATCATGTTAATTGTATCAAAGGTAATTTTATCATAGGGCAGCTGCTGCCTCAGGTTCCCATTTCTCATTTGACTAGTGTAGCCCTTTGGCCAAACCCCAAAGCTTTATGCTCCTGGGATAAGCAAGAATCTAAGTGAGCAAACCTGAGTGTTGATCTCTCCAGATTTTCCCCCATCTCTAGTTTTCTAGCCCTAAAACACAACTCTTTCTCAGGCTGCTTTATCAAGTCCATCTAGGCCTCCCCCGAGTTTTTCCTAAACCCCTATTGGGCATTGTGACAGATATGCCTACACTGCCGGGTTCTTGTGCAAGAACATCTTGCACAAGGGCTTTTGTGCAAGAAATCTTGCGCAAGAAAACGTCCACACTGCCATGTGCAAGATGTGCTTTTGCGCAAGAGCTCCCCTGGCAGTGTGGACGCTCTCTTGTGCAAGAAAGCTCTGATGGCCATGCCGAGCGTCCACACTGCCCTCTTGTGCAAGAGCACCTGCACAAAAGGGCTTACACCTGATAAAAAAGAGCGTAGCTCTTGCGCAAGAAGCCCTCGCTTACCACGCTGTACTATAAATTTCCTTGCGCAAGAGGGAAGGGGCAGTCTGGATGCTCTGCAGATTCTTGCGCAAGAATGGCTGTACTTGCACAAGAAGCCGTGAGTGTAGACATAGCCAGAGTGTTTGCCCTATACTGGCCCTTTAAGGGCAAAACAGAGTGAAGCCCCAGCTGAGGCAGCTCTGCTAATGAGGGCCCAGCTGGGGGCTATATAAGGAAGGACTCCTAGAGGGAGAGAGAGAATTGACTGCTGTTCTGGTTGGAGAGCAGTAGGGACCTGACTGCCAGGGAGGCTCATGGAGGTAGAGCAGAGCAGGGCTGGGGAAGGAAGGCATGGCTGGGGAGCCAAGTAAGCCCCCAGGCTACAAGGACTGAGGCTACTGGGGCTGCAGGAGGCAGCCATGGGAGGCAGAAGGTCCACACCCCTTTACCAGTGATGAGTGGCCATGACAGACGGCAGTTTGCCCCAGAGGCAGGGGTTAGAGGAAGACCGGCAGTGGGTCACGGGAAGGGGCAGTCTGGATGCTCTGCAGATTCTTGCGCAAGAATGGCTGTACTTGCACAAGAAGCCGTGAGTGTAGACATAGCCAGGAGTGGGTCACTGAGGCAAGGTGGGTACAGGGTAAATGGGTGTTCCTGGGGAGAAGAACTGGAGGTCCCTGGGAGAAGGGAGGACCCTGGAGTATGCAGTGGAATAACCCCTCCCCCTCCCCCGGAAGGGGGCACAAAGAGACAGGAGTGGCCATGGGGAGATACCAGCTGGAGGAAGGTGCCCAATGAAACAACAAGCTAATTCTCCAAGGCAACCAGCTGACGGTGTTATGCTGCTGAGTCTGCTCCATGACAGGTGCGGTAGGCAGAGGAAGAAGGTCCACACCCTTTTGCCAGTGATGAATGGCCATGACAGATGGCAGTATGCCCCAGAGGCAGGGGTTAGAGGGAGACTGGTAGTGGGTCACTGAGGCAAGGTGGGTACAGGGCAAATGGGTGTTCCTGGGGAGAAGAACTGGAGGTCCCTGGGAGAAGGGAGGACCCTGGAGTATGCAGTGGAATAACCCCTCCCCCTCCCCCGGAAGGGGGCACAAAGAGACAGGAGTGGCCATGGGGAGATACCAGCTGGAGGAAGGTGCCCAATGAAACAACAAGCTAATTCTCCAAGGCATGACGGTGTTATGCTGCTGAGTCTGCTCCATGACAGGCATTTTGCTTGGAGACACCAAATAAAGAGTCCTATTTCCTCCAGCTAGAAACAATCACAGTCAAGGCACCCCCGGCCCATATAACTCACCATCCCTGCATTTCTGTTCCTGTCCATTTACCCAGGATACATTGCTCCCCACTCTGCTATTCTCATACTTCCTTTGGGGAAGACACAAGAATAGCAAAATTCCATCTCAAACTGACAAGCCATATATTAATACAAAGTCTGAGCTTTTCTAGAATACCCTTAGGCTACTGTCTGAGTCTCTGTCGTCATACGCCAAATGTATTTACATAATATGTTGTCATTTATTTTTATGACTTTGGCTAACTGTTCACCACATTCCTTTTTAATCCCCCACATTTCTATATGACAATTTATCGGCTTTAGCTTCTGGTACTTTTAACAAGCTTTGCTAGGAGTGGATTTCCCCTTTTTGAAGTACAGCATTCTTGCCTGAATATTCACTCATTCCTTGCCACTTGACCTCTTCCACCCACCCCCCTCTTCCATTTTCCTGTTTCATTTACTGGTATGCATGCACCTTGTTTAATATTCTGATTCCTTACCCCGTGGGCTGATTCTAGAGATTTTAAACTTCTATCATTTCTCTTTATTTCATTTCTAATTGACTTCCTCTTTCTTGGGAAAAAAATCTCCCTTTCTAATGTTTAGTGTGACAGGGTTAGTTTTTTATATTTCCCCTTCTACATGGATGTTGACCTCAATTATATTTGGGGTATTATAATATTATGCAATTGCTCAACTATTGTTGCTTCTGTGATAAGTGTTCTCTCTGGTTGTTTATGTCCGTGTGTGGAATTAATGTTATGTGCACCAATATGGAGTGATGTGTGCACCAATATCTGTCTCAGCACACATTGCAAAACTCAATGTGCACACGGACGGAGTGCGGTGGAGGACACACAATATCTGTCTCGGCACACATTGCAAAACTCATTGTGCACACGGACGGAGTGCGGTGGAGGTAGCCCAAGGGGTTACAAGTGTGGGAAGGAGCTCAGGGATGTGCAGAGGGTTGTGAGAGGGTGAGGGCTCTGGCTAGGGGTGCAGGCTCTGGAGTGAGGCCAAGGATGCAGGGTTTGGGGTGCAGGAGGCGGTTCAGAGCTGGGATGTGAGGGAAAATGTGTTCCATATGGGATGTGGGTTCTAAGGTGGGCCTGGGGGTGAAGAGGTGAGGGAGGTGAAGGGGGGTGCAAGCTGCTTCAAGAAGATAGGGCTACCCCATACTGTCGCTCACCACAGAAGCTCAGGGCCAGGTGAAAAGTGCTGCTCCATGGCCATAGCAGCTCCAGTGCATCATGGATGGGGAGGGGCACTATTCCATGGCCCTGGCATGTCTGGGCTAGTCTGTGTAGGGGCCAGGGAAAGGACATCTCTGTCCCGGCCATGACAAGTGCATGGCAGCTCTGCGCTGGGACTGGCAGGCAGAGGCTCCTTCCCCCAGCCACAGAATTCAGTGCTGAGGCCAACAGGCAGAGGCGCCTCCCACCCCAGCTACAGCAGTTCAGTGCTTGGGCTGGTGCACAGAGACTTCTCAACCTGGCAGTAGCAGCTCCATGCTGGGCTGGCAGACAGAGGCATTTCTCCCTGTTGCAGCAGGTCTGGGGCTTGGGGAAAGGCATCTCTCCCCACTGCAGCCCTGAGCCCCCATGCAGGGCTTAATAGGCAGCTGTACCACCAAGGGGCTACGCAGCTTAGAGGGAACTTAGTGTGTCAACCTAGATCAAGACTGGGAAGGAAACAGGGACCTTTCTTCCCTAAAGCAACAAAACCTGGCAAATTCTGGCCAAATGAACAGTTCTAGACAGTGATCACAGTCTATCCAGATTGCTTTTGGTCTGCCATGGTTGTGGGAAACTTCTGCTGTGAGGAGCTCTCCTCATATTTTGCACAAAAAAAAAGTAATAATAATTTGCACTTGCCCAAGACAGTGTTATACCCTGAATTTTGTGTTCAAATGGAACTTCACTTTGAAATCATCACGTTTCATTTGAATTTATATTAGAGCCACATGTCGGCCTAGCTTGTCTGGAAAGGTAACTGCACCTCCAGAGGACTCAGGTCTGAGTTTTCAGGTTGTAACAAAACCTCAACATAGCTGAGCTTTGTGTGGTTTCAAATTTCCTTGCAAACATTTTATGCAATGCTAATGCTGAATCAGACTAAATAGTACTGAAATGTAAATCTTTGTTTGTGCTCAGTATGAATCCAAGAGCCCCATAAACTTTCAAAGATAAATTCATCTTTTTTGATAAAGCTGGATGTGGGTCCAGCCTGAAAAAAAAAATCTGGCTCCCAACTTTCCCAATATTTGAAGTTATTTGGACTTGTTTTTCTATTTGATTTACTATTTGGAGAGCACCCAATGGGTGAAGGGTCCTATTAACTCTGGTTTACTATCAGACTCATCTCTGAATAAATGTGAATTAAACCTATGGCCAACTGGATGGGTCTCTCTCTCATGCCAGGTCTACATTACAAAATTAAGTCAACCTAACTTGCATTGGCATACAGCTGCTACAGTAATTACATCACTTGTGTCTACACTTTGCTCCTTGTGTTGGAAGTATGTGTCTTCATCGGGGCCCTTGTATCAGTAATACTGGAGAGGGTCCTGATCACCGCAGTACAGAGTTTTCCGTTGTTAAGTACTTGCATGGTCTCTGGGCTGGAGAGCAAGATACAGAATGACTCTCACTCACCTGGAAAGGGGGTGACACAAGTTCAAGTCTAAGTCCAAGGGGAGTTTGAGAGACTCACCCCAGACTAGCCAATAGCTTATTGATTCGGATACTCAGATATGGGAACTCAGGCTGGGTTCAAGCCCTGCTATAAAGGGGGGATATGAGCCTAGGTCTCTGCCATCCCAGGTGAGTGCCTTCATCACTGCTTAGAAGTCCTGAGGTGGGCAGCATCTCTTACCCTCAGTTATTTGCCCACGTGCATTCCCATGGCCTGTGTCTCCTAAGCATGCAGTGAATGAGGCAGGGTTATGCAGAAGCCCTTCTGTTGCCGAGTGCACATCTTACCAGGTGTGGTGGGAGCAAGGGCTCCCCAGCTGCATAGCCATCGAGGTACAAGCGCTGAGAGACATTACCCGAGGTCTTCATGGTTGCTAGCCTAGCACTGCTGCCTCAGTTCGGCCCAGCCCTGCAACCTACAAAGGCCTTTTCTGAAAAATCCACATTGCCAGGATAGTTATTTGTCTATAAAATACTCAGAAAACATGTCTCCTTCTATATGTCAGGAGGAAAACCAAAGAAGAATCCATATCTCCTCCCTGGACTCCTGGTGACTGCAGGCCTCAGTTTGCTCCTAGTCCTCCTCTTGCTGGTCTTCTGCTTCAGATGGCATATGGGTAAGTGGTCGTCCTTCTACACCTCACTCACTGCTGGCGATGCTTTCGATTCTGCAAAAATACTTTCTAATAAACAAATCCAAGGGACCCTGACTGGCTTCTGGGAAGTCCATGTGTTGCTCTCCCAGCCAGAGTGAAGCCCTCCCATTACATTACAGCCTGAAATGTGCAAGATGCTACTGATCATTTGGGAAATCAGGGGAAGTTGTCACAAAACAACCCAAGGAACATGGATTTATTTAGGGTTATGTATCACCCTGTCAGGATCGAGGTTCACAGCACGACTTCATGACGTCTCTACATAATGGCATTGCTGGTGCCATGTAACATTGTCTCCAAATAGTGACTCAAGATGCAAACTTTGGAGTGTTGCAGCTCAGTTGTGGCACTGCAACCATATATTGTTCCATATCAGAGAAAATAATCGGTGAAGCGCCTATGGCACTATGGAGCCTTTGAGAGTGGAGGGATGGAAAATTGTGAGCAATGCTTTAGGATCTTCTCCAAAAGGAACTGTCACTGGGAGACAGTGATTAAATCTAAAAGCCCATTGTAAATTGGAGTAAGTCCACTGACATCACTGGAGACACATAAAACTGGTTTGGTGAGGAAAATATCAATCCCATAATCCTTCGATGCCTTCCCATGACTCTTTCAGGAATGTGAGGTTAATTATTTGTAAATCATTTCCCCCCTTTTGCTCCCAGAACATAGATACAGAGAAGTCTCAGAGGGTATGTCTACACTACAAAGTTAGTTCGAACTAACTTTCCTAGGCGCTACACTAGCGCTCCGCTAGTTCGAATTTGAATCGAACTAGCGGAGCGCTTAGTTCGAACTAGGTAAACCTCATTTTACGAGGACTAACGCCTAGTTCGAACTAGCTAGTTCGAACTAAGGGCTGTGTAGCCCTTTAGTTCGAACTAGTGGGAGGCTAGCCCTCCCCAGGTTTCCCTGGTGGCCACTCTGGCCAACACCAGGGAAACTCTATGCCCCCCTCCCGGCCCCGGACCCCTTAAAGGGGCACGGGCTGGCTACGGTGCCCGTGCCAGGTGCAAGCCTGCCAGCACCCAGCTAGCAGACCCTGCACCTGGCACGGCCTTCCTGGGCTAGTGCAGACATAATGGACCTTGTCCACGATCTCTGCACTAGGCACAGGAAAGTGGCCGTCTAGGGCAGGAGAGCTGCCAGCCTGGCCACCCAGGACCAGGTGTGCATGAAAATCAAGGGGGTCCACTGAGACCCCCGACCCTGAGCCCTGAGCTTACAATGGCCGTCCTGGGTCAGACCAAAGGTCCATCTAGCCCAGTAGCCTGTCTGCCAACAGCGGCCAACCCTAGGGACCCTGGAGGGGATGGACCGAAGACAGTGATCAAGCCATTTGTCTCGTGCCATCCCTCTCCAGCCTTCCACAAACTTTGGGCAGGGACACCACTCCTACCCTCTGGCTAATAGGACTCCATGGACCCAACCTCCATGACTTGATCTCACTTCCCTTTAAACTCTGTTCTAGTTGTAGCCTTCACAGCCTCCTGCAGCAAGGAGTTCCACAGGTTAACTATTTGCTTTGGGAAGAAGAACAACTTTCTCTTACTAGTTTCAAGCCTGCTACCCATTCCTTTCCTTTGGTGTCCTCTAGTCCTTCTTTATGGGAACTCATGAAGAACTTTTCTGAATGCACCCTCTCCACCCAACCCCTGCTTTTAGAGACCTCTATCCTGTCCCCCCTCCGTCTCCTCTTTTCTAAGCTGAACAGTCCCAGTCTCTGTAGCCTCTCTTCATCTGGGACCTGTTCCCAACCCCTGATCATGTTAGTTGCCCTCCCCTCTCCCAGCCTTTCTCTTCCCCTCTCCCACCTCCTTTTCCCAGTCTCCCCCAGTTTTTTTCAATAAAGACAGAGTCAATGTTGGAAGAAACGTTATCTTTATTTTGTACATCAATAAGAAGGGGGGCTAAGGAAGGGTAAGTGGAAGGAGGTGAGGGAGGAATGGGGTATGAGCCCCCGATGGGGAGGACTGGGCTGGCTCTGCGGGCTTCTGGGGGTGGAAGCTCTCCTGCAGCCCCCCAATTACTCCCTCTCCCCAGATGGCAGCCTGCGGCAAGTGCAGCCGGGCTGATGGCCGAGTGGTGTGATGTGCCCAGTGTGGGCACTCAGGGCACTCCAAGCCAGAACTTCTTTGCAAGCGGGGCACCCCTTAGAACTGTGTGTCCGGGGTGGGGGTCGGGACCCTTTAAGCGCAGCCCTCGGCTAGCCTGAGACAGCATCTCCATGCTCTAAGTCCTCCTTTTATGCCCTGCCGGCACTGCTTCCGGCCATCCTTAAGCCCTGTTCAGAGTCCACTCAATGTGGACTTGCTAGTTCGAACTAGCAAAACGCTAGTTCGAACTAGTTTTTAGTTCTAGACGTGTTAGTTCGAATTAGCTTAGTTCGAATTAACTAATTCGAACTAAGTTAGTTCGAACTAGCGCTGTAGTGTAGACGTACCCTAACTCAGAAATAATAATCCATTTCTCTTTGTGCTAGTGATGCATGTCTTCAGTTTCAAAAGTATAGTGAGACTATTGAGTTCAAGCACTAGCAAATCTGCATACATTTATGTAAATCACAGAATGTCTGCTGTCCCTCTAAAATATTAACTATGCAAATGACTTTCACAGGTGAAGTTCAGCAGAGGAAGAGAAAAATCATAAAGAAGCAAGAGGTATTGTAAATCAGAATAAAACATGGGGATCTGGTTTCCACACACAAGTTGCGCTTTAGCTATTACAGGCGACCCCCACACTTAGGACCTAATTGGTTCCTGGAGAACCATCGTAAGTCAAGCCATCGTAAGTCGAACCCTTATTTCCAATAGGCGCAATGTTATAAATGGTGGTTCTGTTCCTGGAAACCCATTTCATACCCTAAAAATACCAAAATTGACTACGGAAATGGAGGAAAATTAAACTAAATAGTTCAAATAATGCACAAAGATAACTAAAAAGTGAAGACCTATGTGGTGGAGACACGGGCAGTTCAAGCAGCAGCTGCAGATTGGCGAGTCTCATTGACTTTGTACATTTCCTGTTTTGGGATGATGCGTGGAGTCTGAATTGTACGCTGTCATAAATACGAGTTGTGGACGTAAATTGGGGGGGTTTAGGAGCTATCTCGCATGGAAAAAATGGTTGTAAATGCAGGGGGTTGTAAATAGGGCTGTTGTAAGTTGGGGGTCACCTGTATCCATTTTTGAGCTTCGTTAGATAAACTGACATCAGTTCCTGTGTGCACACTCTTAGATCTGTTTACAACTGGGTTATGTTACTTTAGATTAATTCATTAACTCATCAAATTACACTAAATCAGTTAAAAAGCCAGTTGATACCAATGGAACCATGTTATTTTTGACCAGATAGGGATTTGGTTTTTCAGGAAGTTTGGGAGAATAGTTAAAGAAAGCAAATTTTGAACAAACAAAAATAAACATTTGCTTCCGCAACTTGCTTCTATAAGTGACATGATCCATGTTTCCATTCAAGCATTTTAAATGTTTACAAACAGCTTGTTGCAAATAATCTGCACACCCAAAATTACTTCCCAACAATATACACCGTTCACAGACATACCAGAAAAAGACCATTTCTAAAGTTCCCTCTAAGCTGGCTGAACAGCCACGCAGCTGCCTAACAAGCCCTGCACAGGGGCTGAGGGTGATCGCATAACGTGCTGCCTCTGCCTGCTGGTGCCAGCATGAAGTTGCTGTAGCAGAAATGCCCCTCCCTGCTGGCCACAGGATGGAGCTGCCATAGCTTCATATTGGGACTGGTGGACAGGAATCCTCTCCCCTGTCGGCAGCAGCTCCATCCGGGGGCTAATGTCCCTCCCCACTGGACCATAGCAACTCTGCCCCGGGCCAGAGGGGAAGGGCCCTGACCCGTAAGACATTGTAGCTCTGTGTCGGGGGTAGGTGAGGGGCATCTCTTCCCTGGCCACGACAGCTCAGTGCTGGGGCCAGAGGAGCATGGTTCTCAACCTGCAGCTGCCCCAGAGCTGCCACTGCTGGGGGACAGGTGCCATTTCCCTGACTCCTACCCAGCCTAGCCTGTACCTGCTCCTCCTGGGGTCACAGGTGCCCCTCCACTGGCTGTGCCTGCTGGAGCTGCAGAACCTCTCTCCTGGCCCCAAGCTGCTGCAGTGAGAGAGGATTGGAGATAGCCCCCTCTCTCTCTTACGGGGGGCAACCCGCACCCCAAGTCCCTCATCCCTCAGCCCACCCCAGAGTCTATACCGCCAGCCAAAGCCCTCACTCCCTCACCCCACACTACAACCCTCTGTCTGCACTAATCCTGAGCCCCTTCCCACACCTCAACCCCTCACCCCACCCCTGCCACACACTGTCCATGTGTGGAATGACTTTTGGTAGGTGACACATCACCTCCATATTTGCGCACATAATGAAAGACATTCTGCACTTGGGCATAACCAATAGAGGGAACACTGCTCATGTCTAACGCCAACTAAAGTAATTAATAATAAGTATAGGTTGCATTAGTGAGATTTTTCTCCTTTTTATGTGCATAATTGATCACTAGGCATTTTCGTTAGACTGGGGGAAATAAACACAGCAAATGTGCAAACACATAATCATCGAGCTGCAATGTGAAATTCAAATACCAAACACTATAATGGTGACCAAACGAAGTACGATAACGCCACACAGCTCCAGCTTCCCCGGCTGCTCTTCCAACGCAGCCTCCGCCAGCCCTTATGCCGTCTGCTAGCCTGGCTCTTCCATGCTGCCAGCTGCTTTCACATGACAATAGCTCTTCCTTGCAATGCATGTGCCCAGCTACCAGCTCTCCATGATACTGCTGACAACGTTTTGGGACTCTGACCTAACATTATCATAGCGTAGCTCATTACAGAGATTCAAACACCAAGAACTGAGCAAATGCAGCAACCATTGTAAATGCACTAGGCTCTGGCCCTGGTAGACTGCAAAGGGGACGGTTGTCTTTGATTTACACCTTTCTGTGCATCATTCTTGGCCTGTTTCCACAACTAAAGAAGAAGTTAGAAGTTCCCATTTATGATCAATCCCATCCTCTTTTCTTGTTGTTCTGCCCTGCCGGGTACTGCACTCAGAAACTTCTGACCACTTTGCATATAAGTGCAGCTATTTTCATTTTGCTTATCTGCAGATTATCTCATTAGCATAAATGAGACAATTCTACTCTGCTTCTTTCACTTACCTTTTGCCTCTCTCTCCTATCCATTGAGTAATTTATATCATTGCATATATTGCTCCTGAGCTGTGCTCATGGCTACTGGAAATTATAGAGCTATTCTTTAATCTCTAGACAGACAGTGACTAATGATAGGCAGCTATCATGCTGTTCCTACCTAGCAATGTCCAGTATCCGTTGCTGTACAGTGGTGATTGGGATCTGATTCTGCAACCCTTTTGCACAATGGTTCTATGTAGACTGGGAAAATAAGGAGCTGAAAGCATTTTAAACAGCATGTGCCAGTTCGTGTAGACTGGGTGTAACACATTTAAAATATCAATGGGAAGCTAATGGTTGACCATGAAGACAGATCACATTTTTAAATATGCTATCCCTGTCTACACTAACATGTTGGCTAACACATTCTGCACCGTGACCTGTTTTCCTGCCCATTAGATGGTACTTAGACAACAACATGAGGCTTGCAGATATATGACATGTGTGCTGAGATGTGGGAGAATATGTCATTGGTCATTAACACTCTTCCCTGCCCCAGACATGGTGGCTGATAGTGATGGATGGGCCTTCGGGGAAGAGGAGCACCTAGCTTTGGTTCACTCTATTAAAACCTGGCTGCTGAAACCGGGGGTTTGTGGCTCCAGACTCCTCATCAGCAAACTCTGCTGCTAGCTGGCCACAGGGTCTGAGCTATGACACTGCTCCAAAACCAGCTTCTGGTTTATTGCAGCATTTCTCAGAGTGAAGGCAGGTGCATTCACTAAAGTAAGATGCAGATATTAATAGGAATTAGAATTTGTGAAAGAGAAGGAGAGTGGTTAGTCTGAGAGGCAGGTCAAGTCTGTTCTGTTGTGCGTGGGAAATGGTGGTGCACATTGCCTGCATGAAACCCTGCACATGTGCTTAACACAAATGTGTCTAAAGCACAGATCAGTGTGAACAGTGAGTCCCCCATACGTTGCATTCATTGCTGGGCACGGCCCCAGATCATTGCACTTTTGCAATATGTCACAAAGTCAGGCTTGGGTTAATTAGTACCTTACGTTGTTGTTCCCAATTGCAGTTAGCGGTTCCCAGCCAGTCTTTAAGCTGAAGAGAAGAGTCGGGAGAAGGAACAGCTGCTGAGCCAGTGTTTTTCCTTGCTCTTATAGGATAAAAGATAGCTAAATATAAAATCAAATCTCTTTTAAATCAAGGCTGATCCCCAGGAATAAGTTTCTTATCTCACTGGATTGTTTTGTTTGTTTATATCTAGGTCCCAAATAATGAAGACTCTCCCATGGAAAGTTCAATACCAAACACAGTATCAACAATTTATGCAAGGATAGGAGATGTTGGGCAGAGACAGCTCGCTTTCGACTCACAGACTGAATACGCCTATGTATGCTTCTCTTAACAGCAGCCGGAACCCCAACGTGGACAGTTGGTTTTAGGCATGTTCAGCACATGCAGTTACTCTGGAAGTCAAACAGTTCAAGAACGGTGGTGTAAATACCCCAAAATATCCGACTTCTTGGGAAAGCTCCAGCAGTGGCAATGTAGTTCAGATGGATTTTTACAGACTGCCCAGCTCTCCAGACAAGTGCATTTTACAAATGTAAATGGATGATGGATTAAATCTCAAGCGTCTTTGTGAACTCAGGACCCATCCGCTCTGAAAGCAGCTTGATAATCCTGTAGATTATCCTGATTGTCTCTTTGTATTGGGAGAGAGCCTGGAGGCCCAAGTCAGGGATCCAGGATCCTATCATTCCAGGCAATGAACAGACACAACATATAAATGATTCCTACCTCCAGAGCATGTGGGACATACTAAGCACTACTATGAGTTCCATTAACATGTACCCTGTGAGCCCAGTAACTTTCTGGGTGTCTGTGATGCACAGTATGTGTAGCATTTGGTGCCATCATGTGGGAGCCAGAATAGGAAATGTACTATACCTTGCTCAAGTCTCTTCCATGGATCGTGGGCTCTATGAAAATTGTGGAATGAGATGCTCTTTATTCAGTCTAAAGTAATATTGCGAACACAAAGTGAAGATAAAAGCAATTGGGTAAGTGAGACAGGAAATTGCTGCTGATGTGGGGGAAGGAAGGATCTTTCTTTATGCAACTATTTAAATATTTCATATGGCAGGCAACTCATGTCCTTGGGCTCCCCTTAATTTGGAGGCCTGGAAATGTAAAGAGAAACTTAGATTTTTTTTAAAGTAAGTTTCTTTCTCCTTTCGCTGTGAAGCTAACCTTGCTGCTTTAAAACTATCTGTCCCGATTGCTAGTGCTGAAAATTCATTGTTTGTTTCCTGGCACCACAGCCTCTCCATGGTCCATTCTCGAGCCAAAGAGGCCTGGCTTAGGGGGCCCATGAAAACCGTGGTAACAGGCCCTTCCATGGAACATTTGGGTTGAAATTACCCAAAAGGTTTCAATGAGAATCAGTTTAAAATAAAACCTTTTCCCACTTGTGGCTCAGTGTCTTGTCAGAGTCATAATTCAGGAATCCACTGTCCCCTGTGGGCTGTGCTCCCTGCCACACTCCCTCTCCCAGGAGTCTTGCCTCCCTCCGAGCACTGTGATGCACCATGGGAATCACATGGCTGCAGGTCTATCATGGAGATGTACTCCAATCACGGACTCTAGTTAATTGGGGAGGATGGTGACATTGGGCATCCTGTTTGACAACTGCTGCTGAATAACATGCCACAGCAGAGGAATGGAGCTGACTGAAAAAGTGTTTTCAGTCAGTTAAGCAAAGCAAAATGAAATGTTTTGATTTGGGAATATTAAGATGTTTCCTTACAATGACTTTTCAGACAGCACTCCACCCAAAACAAAACATTGCAATGTTTCCAAATTGAAATTTTTCTGAACTTTTCATTCTGCACAAACTTTCAATATTTCATGATAGTATTTGTCATAATGTGGCCACAATCTTAAAAGAATGGATTTTTCTGAACTACAGAACTTATGTTGTTGTTACAGAAAGTACAGCAAAAGACTGCCTTGGCTTAACCAGGAGATCTTGCATGATCTAAAAATACAAAGAAGTCATATAAAAATGACTTAGTAAGGAACAGTCCACTTAGGAAGGAACAGTCCGTTTCACACACACAGAATGGGAAGCGACTCTCTAGCAAGGAGTACTAGGGAGTCATAGTGGACCACAAGCTAAATATGAGTCAACAGTGTGACACTGCTGCAAAAAAAGCAAACGTGGTTATGGAATGCATGAACAGAAGTCTTTGAGCAAGACACGAGAAGTCATTTTTCCTCACTACTCTATACTGATTAGGCCTCAGTTGGAGTACTGTGTCCAGTTCAAGAAAGATGTGGAGAAATTGGAGAAGGTCCAGAGAAGAACAAGAAGAACGATTAAAGATCTAGAGAACATGACCTGTGAAAGAAGACTGAAAGACTTGGGCTTGTTTAGTTTGGAAAGGAGAAGACTAGGAGGGGATATGATGGTGGTTTTCAGGTATCTAAAAGGGTGTCACAAGGAGGAGAGAGAGAAATTGTTCTCCTTGGCGTTGCAGGATAGAACAAGAAGCAATGGGCTTAAATTGCAGTGAAGAAGGTTTAGTTTGGACATTAGGAAGTACCTCAGCTAGACAGGTACCAGAGCTCCAAGAATTAACCTTGGAGTTCTCCTACACCATCTTCTATAAGGACAAGGAGAAGCTGTGCCCACATCTGGCACTTTTAACCTAAGGGGGTCTCACATTTTCATGTAAGCCAAAATATCTTCCTCCCAGTTTTCTCTCCCAACCCACATACCAATAACAAAGAATGAGAACAGTGAGAGAGGTGGTCCTTATGAAAGCAGAAGTCACATTTAGAGCAGGCTTAGTGAGCACCATAAAAACATGCTTCTTGTGGAAATAACAAAGAGCACAAATCAATGTTTCATTTTCTATGCATATCATTTCAATTATATATTTGTATTGTTTTTGGTTGCTTTGCCCATTTCTAAGAAGTACACTGCAACACAATATAATCCACACCTTTGCTTCTCTTTGTTTGGCTGCAAATTGTTTACAACAAGATAGGCCCAGCTGAGCTTTTGTTAAAACTGTATCAATATTTTGTTCTGAGCTGAGCAGTACTAGCGAAGGGGAGTAAGGAAGTCTAAGTTACTCCTCCGAAACCATGCCTGGACCTCTCCTATCTCAACGTCATCAGGGGAGAGCAAAAAAAGAGAAGGAAATTGGTTAATCACCAAAACCAAGAAAGTAAAATTAGTATCCAACATAATATACTACCAGGACATTGACAAAGGGAACAAATAAGAGGCAAAGAACTGCCTCCCAAAGTATCCGTGCTCAGCATGGTAAACATGAGGCTGCCATCCCAAGAATGGCTCGGAGAAGGCTAGTAACACCCCACCTTGGCATACAGGAGACTGAGCCCTGTCTCTGTCCCCCAATACTCATGCCCAAAATCTCAGACAGGATGGAACCATCTGAAGCATCCTTTGTACAAAGCAAGAAAAAAAGTGAACTGGTGTACTTCTAACCACATTGCCCACAGACACTGAACACCTGCTCCTGGAAGCAGTGCTGGCTGTTGTGGTCGAGGTGCAATAACCCACAGCCCCTGCAGTGTGCGCTGTGTGCGGGTGCAGTGCTCTGTGAGCCCCTGAGAGGAGACTGCTTGCATTGACTCAGTGCCACTGGTGCAAGTTGCTTCGGTGCAATTCTCTAGAGTGGCCAGAGCCTTTAGTAAGAAATTCCCCCCAATACAGTTCAAAAAAATAATCTATCAGCTGCAGATGATAGACAAAAACTTGAATTCTTTGCCATTGACAAAGAAAGCCTTTCTGCACGGTGCAAAGATCCTCAGAGCATCTGTAACTTCCTTCCTGGCCTGCCATGACATACCGCAGGCGTCCGCTTGGCCCGTGAGGTCGGTAAGGAGGGCACTCGTCCTACAATGTCTGCTGTGGCCATGTGTGGTGAGTCTGACCAGCCATGAACTCCCACTCGAGCAGTCGGATTTGCTGTTCCATCCTTCTGTTCTTTGGTAAGTCTGGGAAGGGGAGAGGGCTGAAAATGCCTCGTTAGAAATGCACTAATTGGGACTAGAGGGAACCCAGTATATAACATACAGCACTTGAATTGCTCCACATCATGTGGGGAAAGAGCAAAGGCGGTCGTGGTATCCACAATGTACCTGCTTGGATTCATTTAATAGTCTGCAACACTATAATGCTATGCAGTGTTGTTTTTTGAGCCGTTGGCTTCAAGGGTGTACAGCTTGTATGAAAGCTGATCTGCACAATCAGGCTGCTGTATTCTACTGGCATCTTTTCTACATGGCTGTTTGCTGTTATGTTTTTTAAATGTCCTTTGTCTTTGGAGTTATATCTGAATAACAGTGCTGGTTTGGGAATCACAAATTAAAACCAATGTGTTAGGTTCGTAGCAGTTGGCTCAGGTCCATGGCATGGAGGGTCCCTTAGAGATTCAAATTCACAGTCGGTGTGTCTATGTCCTGTCTATTTCCCTTCTCCAAACCCGGCTCATGAGGGGCTTTGGGAGCTTCCCTCTCAGGCAGGCTCTTTGGGGTGAGGGCACTTGATAAAGCCCGATAGATTCACAAATCGTTAAAGGGTTTTCTGAGAGGCCGGATTTGCTTTGATCTCTCCCTCCCATAGTGATAAAACCTGGGCACTCCTTCTCTGATGGCAGAGAGCAGCTCTTTACTGAACTGGGGCAAGGAACTGCTCAGTAGTTCCATCTGCATAGTTATTGAAGTTGTCAAGGTATTTCTAAACACCATTTCCACACAGACTCCTCTTTCTAAGCATTCATCAAGGCTGCTGCCCTCCAAGACATGCAGACATACCTTTTATCAGAATTCCAAGTCCAACAGACCCCCCTTGGGAGCATTGCTATAGAACCTACTCGAGTCACGTGATAGCCATCTAATTATTGGAAAATAATAAAATATATGGAAGATGGTGCGAAGCTTTCCCACAAAATTTGTAGCGTTTTGTGTAGCAAAACCTGGGTGCAATGAAGTAAACGCTTTAAAATCTCAGTACACAATGTTCCCTGTAGAAACGTGATATTCAGTGAAAATGTTTACTCTGGTATCAAGACTGGTGATTTGCTGATCTCTGTCTATTTATTGCAGGTTTCTCCCAACCTCTTTTCATTGAAGTCCCTCAGAGTTCACTCAATGGAACTGTGGGTCAGTCTGTCCTTCTGTCTGTCTCCTTTAAATTCAATTGCTCTGTTCACCTTTCTCTGCCAATTCAATGGAATTTCAATAACACCCCTGATACGCTCATCAGCTACACAGTGACTAACTGCTCTGCCTGTGCTGTGGGGAATCCCGCCCGCTGCGCTGGATATTACACACACCAAGCATACCGAAGCAGGACTGTCTTTTTCCCTGAAAATGCTTCTCTGCTCCTTCAGAACCTGCAGCTGAATGACAGCGGAGTCTACAGCATCTCCTTCGGCACAGTGCAGCAAACGAGAGACATCACATTAACAGTCTCCAGTAAGTATGTGATTTGTGTGCTCCCCACCAAAGTAGGCTGACCCACCTCTGATGCCACACACGAGCAGGAACAGGAGTGTGCAGAAATCTAACACTTATCCTGTAAGCGAGCAAACAGACTTCAGTGGGCGAGACAATTCAGGTCATGTCATAGGTTCTGACATAACTGGATCTTCAATAGCAACAGCCACTGTCCAACCAGGTCTCACTCCTTAAATCACAGGTGTAAGAATGCCTCTTAAAGTACCACACAAACATTTTGGCTGCTCCTCCCCATCCTCACGTTTATTTCTTATTAATTGATCTATTTTTCAGAGATAGGCCAAGAAAGTGATGGACCTGTATCAGAGATGAAGCAAAAGTCATCAATGATAGAGTTATGGCTAATAGAGTTAAGGAAGCAAATAGAAATTCATTGCCAGGAAAGGCTGCAGGTGGCACAAAAATTGGTGGGGTGCTAAATAATGAGAGAAGCATGGCAGTTATGCAGGCTGATCTGGCTCTTTTGGTAAGGTGAGCTGATCGGAACAGCACACAGTTTAGCACAGACAAACGTGAGACGAGTTATCTCCGTACAGAGCACGTAGCTTGCTCTTACAGAATGAGGGCCTGTGTCCTGGAATGCAGTGACACTGAAAGGTCTTTGGGGCCCAGGTGGATAACGAACTGAACGTGAGGTCCCCAGGCATGGCTGTAGACAAGAGGGCTCATGGATCCTTGGATGTATAAGGATGAGAACTAGGCTGCCAAGGGAAGGGGGACAGCAAAGGGATCAGTTGCCCCAGCACCCACTGATTTAAAAGGGCCTGAAGCTCCTGGCTGTCACTGCTACTGGAGTAGCAGCAGTGGACAGAGTCTCAGGGACTTTAAATTGCCACTGGAGCCCCGGCGCTGAGGGGTGGTTGCCTCTAGCCCCACCCCTTCAACCAGAGACCACAC